TTTTGCTGCTGATGTAGTTGCTCGGCCGGGGGCGAAGCGGCCTCGCCGGGTGCCCTCCAGCTCGCAGGGGAGGACACGAACCCTGGGGAGAGGGAGTTAAGCGTGAGCGAAACCACTCCGAGCGTGCCGGAGAGAGGTGAGGAGAGCAGCGTCCGGGCTGGAGAGAGCATGGAGAGCTGCGGTCCTCAGGCTGGTGATGCTGGAGAGCCCGGCGGGGTTGCCGCGCTGAAACAGCAGATCGCTGCTCTGGAGGAGCAGCTGGGCAAGAAGAAAGAAGAGCTCGAGCAGGTCAGGGCGGTTCTGGAGCAGCAGGATCACGAGATCAAGGAGAAGGAGAAAAGCATCAAGTTACTGGCCAGCTCCAAAGCTCTGCAAGAAGAGAAGCTGTGCCGGGAAGACACCACAGAGGCCAAGCCACCGTCCCGGCGGAGCGGGGAGGCTTTGCAGTGCTACGATGCTGCGGTGAACACCGACCTCTCGCAGGTGTCTGGGGCCAAGCAAGCCCATGATAAAGGCATCAATGTAAATATCCCAGTCTCCACCAAATCCGTAGGATGCGGCGTCCGCAGAGCAGACAACGTGAACGTGCAGGCGACGGTGAGAGATCAGGGACTGGCAGACACTCGCACCGGACCCGGACATTCTGGTGAAGCCGACGTTGAAGCTGGCCTTCAAGCACCGTGCTTCACCCAGCTGAAGATCGATGAGCACCTCGGCGATGACAATCAAAATCACAGGAACAACTACGACACCCAGAATCTGGCTGCTCGCGCGGTGACTGCAGAAGGCTATCGAGGAACAAGAATTGGCTCAAACACAGGAGAAAACAAGGCAGGCTTTGGCGAAGACAAACCTCGAGATGGGCTGGAAGGGGAAGGTCCCCCTGACCACGAGGATCTCCCTGCTGTTGACCCCATCGGCCAATACGTAAAAAAAATCCAGGAGCTTTTGCAGGAGCAGTGGCTGTGTTTGGAGCACGGCTACCCCGAGTTAGCGAGCGCTATTAAGCAGCCGGCCTCCAAGCTCAGCTCCATTCAGAACCAATTAGTTAATTCCTTAAACTCGTTGCTGTCTGCCTACTCTACGCAAGGGCCCGCGGATAAGGAGAATTCGAACACACACTATCAACAGTTGGGTAAATAATTTTGGCATAGGTTTCAGCGTCTCCGGGCCAACTCTCTTCCCATTTATTGAAGCGTTGAGCAGGAGTGATGCGGTGGTATAATCAGTATCAGTCAGATCAGGAATAGCCACTCTTAAACATGTGTGAGAAAGGCAAATTTCTGCACATCATAAGCTATGTGATCTTAAATTAAAAGAGCAAACAAAATGATATAGGAGCTGATAAAGCTGCGGCTCAGTTACATGCAGGATCAGCTTCCAAAAGTGGCCGTACTAGTGGCTATTCCATCAAATAGCCATTTTTCTTAATTGGATTGGAAATCTCAATTTGCAAGAATATGAGACTGCTGCTCCTCTGGGGTAAATCAGCAGGGAGTTCACCAGAACCAAAACCAATTCAACTAACCGAGCAACCAGGCTGGGAGAAGACCTGTCCCCACTCACAGCCCTTCGTCTCAGATAATGTTAGCTCATGTGAAGAGAAGAATCCAGCACCAAAGGCTGCCTCTTCACTGTCGGGAGCGGCTTGCAAATAGAGAAGTGACCTATTACTTAAAAGCAATACGTAGTGAGACTGTTCAAACTCCGATGGAAAGACTCATCCATGTAGTATTATAGGAGATTTATATAAGGGATTTCCAATACATTAGTATTGGAAAAAATAAAAAAGAAAACATTATTGCAAAAGTAAAACCTACTTATATTCATAGGAGGCATATATAATTCCCAGTCGCTATCTTTATATTCCCACCCACTTGGAGATGTTTGAGAGCCGAATTTTAAAGGTGGCAGGGCAGGGTCAGGTTGTGGCCAGGCGCATCAGTAGTTTTGCAAGACATAAAAAGCATCTCCTAAGATGAAGTAAGATGCTTAGGGTTACAATTTGTAGTTTGTTGCTGGAGGTTGGGAATAAGAATTGATAATTGTGGCACATCTGCTTAATTAATCTATTATTTTGTGTTTTGCTAGAAATCTCTCCAACCACAAGTCTTAAATCTATCATGAAAAAGAAAGGTTATGGTTTCCATGCAGGAGGCAATGGGACCAAAAAGAATCTCCAGTTTGTTGGGGTAAATGGTGGGTAAGCATCCGTTCAGAAGATAAAACTGCCTGTTAACACTTGATGTCCTCTGTATCGCTGAAGAAATTCTTTTTTTTTCCCTTCTTTTCCCCTCCAAACCTCTTAATTAAAAGGCCATTTGAAATGGAGCCTCTTTTCTCCCTTCTTTAATCCAGCACTGATAACCTGTAAGTAACCCTGTAGAAAAGATGTTGGTGTTTTCAGGGCAGCGAGGGACGCCCCGGGGACTGACACTCTCTGCACGCATCTTTTGGGGCTTCATCCAGGACCCAGCTGGGGCAGGGGGAAGATTCCTGCTCACTTTGGTGGGTTTTGGAGGAGGTCGGCGTTGCCTGGGTGGGCATGCTGCCACTAGCCTGCCTCCACGCTCCAGGAGAGGCCAACAGAAGTTGGTTCAGGGACTGAGGAAAGGCTGTTTCAGTAAATAAGGAATTACCTCGGGGTGAAGGAGATGTATTTTAGGTAGTGCTCCAACACGCCGTTCCCTGTGTATCCAATATCTAACGCTTTTTGGCCTTTGAGCTGGCTAGATACACCACCGCGTGCTATAGGTGCATCTCTAGGAGGAGCACTGGCACGTCTCCTACCGAGGAGTAGGCGTGCTGGCAGGAGGAGGGCAGGACACGTTGCACCGTCCCTTCGCTGTGCAAAGAGCTGTAGGCGTGCAAGTTTGGGTGCTGGTTTCTGCTGACGTACGCTTCTCTGACTTCCCAGCTCGGTGGCTACTGCCGTTGGGTTCATTGGTGTTACTCACTCCTGTTGTGTAGAGCTTCTTCTACCAATAGTTGCTGAGACGGGTACAACTTGTAGCAAGTAGAGGAATCTCAGCTAGTTGAGGAAAGTTTTGGGATCCATCAGAGTGAAATGTTCTGTCTTGTGGAAGATGTTGCTGTTAGTAATGCTTTTGGACAACCAGAAGAGAGGTCTCTCTCGTGGGGCTGCTCAAACAGTGGACTCGGATCCGTGCTGGAGCTGCAAGCGCAGTTTTTGCCTAGCGATCCTCAACGTTGCCGACATGGCACCTGCCCCACCATGCCGTGAGGTCCACGTTTCTTGCGGCTCCTCGTCAGCGAGCTGACAGCTCCCGGCAGGGAGGCAGCACGCAGCCCTTGCCTGGCCACGCTGGGGCTTGTGCGACGGACATCCCTCCAAACGAACCGAGCAGTCCCTGAAGTAACCTTGCCTGCTGCTAATTAACTGCTTCTATCGTGCTCCTGCTGGCTTAAGAAGCCAAAAAAAGACTAACCCCAAGTCTGGCTGTGGCTCTAACCTTCTAACTTGCGCATCATTCCGGGCTTCATCCAAGGCCCATTGGAGTCAGTGGGTGTCTTCAATGAGTCTTGGTCAGGCCCCATGGTTGCGGACGGGGAAGGAGTGAGTAACATGTGGTGTCCTCAAATAGCTATGAATCGACTTCAAGCGAAGACACAAGTTGTGAAGACAGCCCGTCGGACGGCGACGTGGAGAGCGAGACGGAGAGGAGAGCTGATGATTTGGAGCCCGCACAGGCGAAAGCTGGAGGTGAAAATGAGGGGGCTTCGCTGGAGACATCCTCGCAGGAGAGACGTGAGGACGACGACCTGCAGGAGCCATTGGCAGAAGCAGCGCCTTGCGCTCAGCGCGAGGCGGACAGGTAACCAGCAAACCAGGCAGCGATGGGGCTGTCCATCGTGTTTCTGGAGCCACGGGGCGCATGGCACTGCGTTCGGTCACTCCTGCGGGGCTGGGGTCAGGGCTGCATCTGGTGGGAAGGCAGCCGCTGACCTCCGCAGACATGGGAAAAGGCTTTGAAGAGCTAAATAGTTTTTGAGTTACTACAGAATCTGATTCAGGCCCTGCCCTTGACTGTGGAAAAGGCAGAGTGAGTCATATTTGGTGAGAATTAGCTCATTTTTTCCCTCTCAAGTAAAGTTCTTTGCAGATTGTGGAATAAGATTCCCCCCCCACTTTAAGGATGCTTGTAACAGATGAACTTGACCATACAGATCACAGAATCACAGAATGGTCGGGGTTGGAAGGGACCTCTGTGGGTCACCCAGCCCAACCCCCTGCCAAAGCAGGGTCACCCAGAGCCGGCTGCACAGCACCGCGTCCAGGCGGGGCTTGAATATCTCCAGAGAAGGAGACTCCACAACCTGGAGTCCCACATCTGGGACTCTGGACTTAAACACTGATTTAAGTGCTTAACTTTGTCCATAAAATCTGTGTCAAGTCAACGGGACAACTTGTGTCCGTAAAGTTAAGCCCTTAACGAAGTGTTGAACATATTCTGACCTGAACTGCATGTTCTCCTTCCTGCTTCAATACCTCCTGCAAGTTCCGTCCCATGATGGGTTCACAGAAGTATTTTCCCTTGCAGATGCAAACCCTCTGAAGATTTCCTTGCCGGCTGCCAGCTACTCAGCCAGCACCTCTCAGAAATCAGGACCACAAGCGACGAGCATCTGGTACAGATATTTTTCAGTCCCATTTTGGAGGTGGTTCCCGCTCTCTGTTACGTTTAATGGATAAGATAGTCGTGACGGCGCGTTGCGGGCTGTGCCCCACCATGCCATGGCCAGCTTTGTGAGGAGGGGGGGACGAGATGAACTCGGTCAGTTTTAGAATAGCCAAAAAGAAAGGAAAAGGGGGAAAAGAAAAAAAAAAAGATGAAGGCTTTCTCTGCTTACTCATTCAAGTTACCACAGGAAATTCCTTTCTCCCTGAAGTTATAGCAGTAATCCCAAAACCACAAGCTAAATAAAATACCGGCTGCGCGATGCTAAAGCACAGGACGAAGTGGCGCAGGGCGAGGGGCCGGGGCAGTGACTGGTTTGCAGGATGACTGCCCCAGGAGTAACGGTGAGACCTTGGTGTTTGCAGCGGCACGTCCTGAGCACCGTGTGCCAGGAGTGGTTCCGGGTGTCGAGCCGCAAGTCTTCCAGCCCGGAGGTGGTCGCAGCGTATCTCAAGGCGCTGGGGGCCACCCAGCCCCAGCTCCTGGCCATGGTGGTGAACCTGGCCGACAGGAACGGCAACACGGCTCTGCACTACAGCGTTTCCCACTCCAACTTCCCGATTGCAAAGCTCCTGCTAGACACAGGTAGAAACAGCCACTCTGCTCAGCCGTGGCTTTTGTTGGGTGGGGGTGTGGAATTACGTTGTGTGGGTCTTTCCAGTGGGACACGGTTCCACAGGGGTTGACTGCAGTGTGCAGGGCCAGGGTCCATCAACAGTCCCAGACATGGCAAACAGCGAATGAGGTCCAGGGCCCTCCCAGGGATTTCAATCAGGAGCAGAAGATGGGAGAGAGGTGGGGCTGGTGACCAGCTACAACCTACATGCAAGGGACCCATCCAGGAGACAAGCATGGGGCCAAGGTCCATCCAGCAGACAAGCATGGGGCCAAGTCCATCCAAGGGACAAGTGTAAGGCTATGTCCATCCAAGATACAAGCATGAGGGCAAGGTCCACCCAGGAGACATGGTTGATCTGAAGACCAGCATCCTCCGCCCATAGCTCGGCCCTGGGCCAGTGGGTGTGGGCGGGGGTTCCCAGCTGAGGCTTCTCAGGGCCATTAAGGCTCATTAGTGCCCTCGGGGCTCAGACACATCTTGAAGGCTTTGCAATCTGACTTTGGTGATGGCTCAGGGTCCTTGTGGCTAAGGGGCGTCTCACGGCCTCAGTGCCGGTGGGATGGGGCGGCTCCCCCAGCTTCTTGTAGCAGTAGGTGCCACATCATGGCTCGGAGCTGGAGGATCAGACCCCGGAGAGCGTCACAAACCCCACAGCACTGCGGAAAAGCTCCATTTTAAACTATTGAACTTGTGGCTCACATTGCAAAGAAAGAAAAATCTCAGCTGAGCTTGTACGGGGGAAAAATGCACGCGCGCTCAGCAAGAATGAAGGCCCTTTGGCCTTTTCTCCTGGGCCAGACAATCTGCTGAATGTTAGGGAAATGGCAGATTATCATACACATCTATAACCCGATTGTTGCACTGGCAGCCGTGGTGGTTTGTCCCCTTCCGATGCTGCGTGCCTGGGGTGGCCGGGTCCCCGGGCCAGGCTGGACCCGAGCCTGTTAGACATGGCTTGTTCCTTGTGGTGGGGTTGCAGATAGGCT